TAAGTTTGGTTCTTAACTATCTGAGTTTAGAGTTCTAAGTCATTAGGACCCCAACTCAAGCCTTATTAATTTGAGCAAAGGCCCCTTTCCCTATATAACTGCCCATTCTAAAACTCATTTCCAGCTTTCCTTCTCACCTCAAATGTTGTGCCTGTTCTTATAAATGTTGAGGCTGTATGGTAAGATACCTGTCTGTACGTTCTTCTGTTATATTGTCATACCATTTAGATGTTTAAAACATAGTTCATTTTAAACACTAAGTTCAGGTGTTAGATGCCCTAGTTGATAAAGCCCCCTGATACCAAGACTAGGGTTCCTGGTAGAAGGAGAGAGAAGAAGTACAGGTTATCCTCTGACTTCCACATTTCCACTCAGCAGGCACATAATCTCAAACACACAAAACAATTTTAAAAACTACCCTACGTATTAAACTGCACCTGCTCTAGATTGACCCAGTTTATTTTATACCAGTGGTTCCTAGGTCAAGATCTCAAATAATGATGAGGCTTCTTAGAACTCCTCTCAATTAAAAAAAAAAAAAAAGCCTTAATGCAAAGTGTATTTTCACTGAAAGCTTAGATAAACTAATTTATTCTAAGGATAAGTCCATAATCCCTTATCCTAATGCCTTGAGACTGAGTGCTTCCAAAATCAGATTTTTTTGGAGAAAATGTTGAAAGACTCCCCAGAACCAAAAATAGACTCGGGTATGACATGACCCCAAAGACACTCCTGAGACCGGCTTGCTGTAATAACATAAGTCAGGTTCTTTTTAATATACGAAGCTTCGGGTCAAAACGTGTCTCACATAAGAGACAGAGGAATCGACCAGGAGATCTAACAACTTAGGGTTTTTCAAGGAAAGGCGGGGGGGTGGGCGCGAGGAGGAAGGGGGATTGCGGCACAGTCATACACAACTGGCTGTTTCAAACATCTGTAATGAGTGTAAACAGATCTCACGAGAACTGTCCCTGGTTTCTGTGGCCTTGGGACCCAGTGTGAATTTTATCTGAGCCAGCTCACCACCTGGCAGAATTTAATTAGCAAGTCCTTGGGCCCTTTGGTGAGAAAGGCTAAAACATCACAGAAACAGATGGGTGTTTCAATAATGTTCTTGTTCTTAAGGAATTTGCCCTTGGGCACTTTTCTTATCTTCTACAGCGATGGATCTTTGGAGCACTCAATTAACCTTTGTTTCCCTGCATCTTCTGTGACAGCCTTGGGTTAGCAAGTTAGCTGACTTATTTTTAACTATTTGTATTAGTGAATTGAGGCTTTCTGTTACACTACTTAACTAACTTAAAAAAATACCTTTTCAATGTAATGATAGCATCATTTATTACATAACTCTCCACAAGTCCTTGGCAGTGCCTCAAACACATTAATACCTTTATTACACCAATGATGACAGACAGCCCTGGGTTAATTTTCCACCAAGTAATTTCCTGCAAACTTATATGAAAACTCAAACTTTTCAGAGCATTTATTTTAGAACTGTGAATAACAGGTTGTGAGCTTGTTCAGATGTACTGTCTTGTTTATTCTCTCAACAATACATGAAAAATACATAATTTATAGATGAAAAGAGCAACAGTGTCCATGCTCCCATAGCTAAGTGGTAAAGCCAGCTTTTGAATGTAGTTGGGGTTTGTCTTGCTGTGACACTATGACCATAAACATCTTATAAGTTACAGTCCATCATGACAGGAAGTCAGGGCAGGAACACAAGCAGGAATCTAAAGGCAGGAACTGGAGCAGAGGCCATGGAGAAATGCAGCATATTGGCTTACTCCCCTCCATAGCTTTCTCAGCCTCCATTCTTTAAGCACCCAGGACCACCTGCCCAGGGGTGGCATCACCCACAGTGAGCTCCCCCTCCCCAGGACCATCTGATGGAGTCCTTTTCTCAAATGAGGTTCTTCTCGAATGACCCTAGCTCATGCCAAGTTGACACAAAACTAGCCTACACTCAAAATTTAAAATCTCTCCTTGAAGAGGAGTTTTAAACTCCAGCAGCCTACATCTCCCTAACTGGATTTGAGACCTTGGATGACTTCTTGGAACTCAGTTTGCTCCTCTTGCTGTGAGACCCTTAAATATCTAAATCATGTGAACCTACAGTCCATGTTGGGCTTGGATTTTGGCCTGGCCTTCTCTGTGATGTCTGTTGGTCTTTGCAAGCTTATATGCTCATTGGCACATTCAGTATGAATTATTAAAAATAGTATCCTTTTTATAAGGGTAATGTAGGGCCATGTTTGAAATTCAGCTTTCTCTCATAAGTCTCTTTAGACTGTGAATGGTTCCCTTTGTCTTTGAAGGTCTTTCAGTTACCTCCACATCATTACAATTTGCTTTAGCTTTTTTTCTCCCTCCTTTCCCACTTCTTTCCCCTGTTTCTCTAACTCCCCCAGTCACGCCCTGATTCTTCAGAGGGGGAAAGTATCGCATTTCTAAGCTTATTGCTTTCACCATTTAGGCAGTTCTTTGTTGGCTCTTAGTATTTATGTCTTCAAATATATCTTCTAGTAACAATCAAAGTATTTTCTGACATAAAGACAGTTTGTTTTCTAAGTGCCTCTTTCCCTTGACTCTTTCTAGTCTCACTTAAATGCCACCTCCTCTTGTATTCAAGTACCTAGTTAGAAGATCCTCCCCACTTACAACCCCAAGTCAGTGACTTCTATGTTTTTCTTTACTATTTAAGCTGGTTTGGCATGAGGATATCATATTTCCCCTAAAGACAAAATGTCTTGTACTTTCTAAGTTTATAATCATATTTTATTTTAGTATCTATTTATTTGATAATCAGAGAGACAGTAGAAACTGAAGTTTAAAGTCATGTAATTGTTCTCTTCATGTTACCCAGAATTCAGGAAATTAGTGTAAATAAGGTTTCAATAGGTAGCCCTTCAGTGCGAAATGTGTATCAGTAGCTAAGGAAAGTACCTTGTATAAATCCTTTATATAAATTAATCTTGACCAAAGATAAAAGTCTGGTTATAGTAACTTCGTGGTTAACCATTAATGGCATCTAAAAGGATTGTTTCTAACATAGGTTGATATAACTTTTGGGCAGAAGTCTGTCACTAGTGCTACCCATAAGCATATAGGTAGGACATGGAAAGATTGATGTTCCTTGTCATTACATTAAAACCTGTATTATCAATGTTCCAAGTTCTAAATTCTAGTCTGTGGCAGAAACATTTGACAGTCTCAATGCAAAAGAAGTTGAATGAAAAGCAATACCTTCTACCAAAAAATGTCTTGGAAGACATCACTTGGTTCCTGGGAAGTAAATCTGAATTCAAATTGACTACCAATGTGAGTTCCACCTCCTCCCCTACCATTTAATCCTTTGTCATACTTTGCCACAGATTTGATAACATTTGTTTAGCTACTTGTTTGAATTTTCTTTCTAGTTCTTTATTCTCTGGATTATTATCTGGATGCCACCATACTGTCATTTTTCTTTTCTTTTTTCTTGTTTGATTTTTGTCTTTTGAGATACCATTTCTCTGTGTAGCTCTAACTGTCCTGGAACTCACTTTGTAGACCAGAGCGACCTCAAATTCACAGAGATCCACCTTGCCTCTGCCTTCTAAGTGCTGGGATTAAAGGCATGTGCCACCATCACCCAGCGTGTCATTTTTAAATGTGCCTTCTTGATATCCACCAGTGAGGGATGTCTGTGCATACTTGGACTAGTAATCTACTGTGTTTTCACAGGTTGGAAAAAGTCTGGAATCTGAAGCCTATACTCCTCACTTGCTTTACTGAGACTAACTGAAAGAGAAGTTTATTCAAGGCCTGTTGCTGAAGAAATTAGAATCTTTGTGTCAGATCTTCATGATGCAGAGCATAAGTTTTTGCTTATTGCCTGAAATGAGTGCAGTAAGAAATGCTGTACTACACCAATGGGAGAGTCGTTGAACATTGCCATTGGCTTTACCATGGCCTTCCTCCTTAGCTCTGTATCTTTATAGAGCTGAATTCTGAGTGCCCTAGGCTTTATCTGTGAAACAGGAGCCCTTTGCTAAATGACCTAGATTTATCATTAAGATTAGTTTTGAAATACTTAAATGAATATGGTTGCTTCTAGAAAAGTACTGACAAGTACACAGAAACAAATATTCAAATGTATATGGCACACAGTAAAATTCACTTTCCTATGCAGCATTCCAGGGCTGCCTTAGAAGAAGCCCCCTTGGATGAATTCTCTTATTCCTCAAAATCATACGTTTATACTTCTATTTCTAAATTTACTTTATGGAGTATCATTTACCTTTCTATTATTCAAGAACTTTAGTTTGCTATGCCCTGTATCTTAATAATAGGTATGTATTTGTAACTGTGTCTAGTTCTTTTATCATTTAAAGCATTGCTTCTTAACACATTTGTTTTATCCCTAATACTGTTTGTTTTTTTCTCTTCCCTACTCATCATATATCCAAGTTCCCATCAGGTAAATTATTCTTTCTGTATTGTCCAAAGTTTCAGTGTTTAAATTCTCTTGTGATTATGATTTTCTTAAATTTTTTTGAAAACTAAATCTGAACATTGACAGCCAAAAACTAAAATTATGTAACTACTGTTTGTCGCACAGCAAAGGGACAAGCCTGACTTTGAGAGGAAAATGTGGTTCTGTGTCACAAAACCTGGATTCCTGGAGAGGAGTGTACCAAGCCAGAAGGCACATCAAGTCGTTCCTTACACTCCATAGGTTCAAAGAGATGATTCTGTTGCAGCTTAGTATTTTCAAATGTTCTCAAACTAGAAGTCTAGACTGGCTGTTCTCAAGTATGGCTGCATATCAGAATCAACCAAAAGAACTGTTATTTAATCTGGTAGAATTTCTAGCTAAAGGGAGCCATCATTTGACTGCAGTGGATATCCCAAGCTGAGGATGCTGACTCTTGATGCCAGTCTTATCTTGTATAAGCAAAGACAATGAAATGCAGGATCCTTCAACAAGAGCAGAAAAATGAAACAGTACCAACTGAAGGTTTATACACTTTTTATTTCTTTTTCTGTTGCTGTGCCTCTTCTATAATCAGTCCCTGGTAAGTATGTTTATTAAAATGCCCTCCTCCATCCTCTGCTTCTGAATTGCTTTTCTCAGTAATAGCTATGTGCATGGAAGACTGACTTTCCTTGGAGAGCCTGTTCTTTTCTTGGATGAATGTTCTGGAACACGGGGAACTGGAGGTATTCAGAGACTACTGGGTGACATGCTCATAACTCGTGTTTCAACAGCTGACTCAGCTTTTCTCCTGTGTTTATGATTCACATACGTTGTGTTTTCAGAAGTTCAATCAAATGCTATCTAATTTCCAGGGTTGACTGAAGCCTTTCAGGTCTCCAACCAAAATATTTAGGAGAACTGGAGCCTGGCTGGTGAGTGATGGTATCTAGTAGGTGTAGGAGGGTGTGAAGAGTGACTGGGTAGCAGCAGCACCTGATGAACCTGTGTGAGCATACTGTCCTTGGGCCGCCTGGCAGTTAGCCTGAAAACCAAACATTAGAGAAGATACTGAATTAAGGATCTACAGCGCCCGACTTAATACTGTCTACTGCTCATTTGAAACCACCCACACTCCCATTCGATGAGTTTAACTCTTCATAACAATGCTGCTGAATATTGCTGTTGGTGCCCCTTCCTTCTATGTCTTCTTCCTTATTTTCCCAGTGTACTGGTATTTGTTTGTCAGGTTTGAGGTTTATGTCACTCACTGCCCATTGTTTCCCTCCTTCCTGTCTTTCTAAGGCCAACAACAGTCCCTTACAGTCCTGTATCCTGTAGTTCCTTCTAGCTTCTATGACCCTCATTCCCTAACTTCACTCTCGTTTAAGGCTCCTTTTACTTGACATTCTTTCATACCATCCTCTCTCCTAGTGCTTTAAACTTAAACTCCCTGAGCACAGTGCCTCTACCTGCTTTGTTCACCCCAGTCCTTGTTATCACAGAGCATATTTCAAACCTAATATTTGCTGGTAGACTAAACTTAATTTGGTTCTTGTTTCTCCTGTACACCTTTCTAGTCTTTTCCCAATACTTTTGTTTTTAAGTAGAATAGCTTTCATTTATTCTTCAACAATTTGATATGTGTAAACAATACATCTTGATCATATATGTAACCCCAACTTCTCGGTCCCACCTCCTCCAGGAATCCCTTTTTAGTTTCTGTCAATAACCCACTGAGTCCAATTACAGCTGCATGTTAAAATTCCTAACAAAATCCTTAAATGAGCACCTTTCTCTTCTTTGTTGGAAATTTTTGTTGAGGGACACTGGCATGCTCCTCAATGCTAATCTCAGGGCCTTTGATTTTAATTTCACTCTTGTATGTTATATCATTTCCTTGAAGCTCTTTTATCTGTTCCTGTGATCCTTGGGTCATCCTACAATATAATTACTTGTTTTTACCATGTCCTTTCTTGTGACAATCTCCAAAATGAAAGATACCCCAAATTCAGAAGATGAGAAGAAGTGATCTTTTTATCTCCTTTCCCCTGAAGTACCTTGATTGAGAATCCTTTTCTCTTTTATTATCAACTGTCTGACTAGGGTAGAAAACCCCAAACCCTTTCTAATCCCACTCTTCCTATTGAGCTGTCATATCACATTTTTAATACCCAGTAGACACTATCTGTAAGAACATTTTCCAAACAATAATGCCAGGCCTCACAACTCTATGAAGAAGATAAGAGAGAGCAGCAGCTTCTTACCACGGCCCGCTTCATGAAAGCTTCCTGGGTTGCCTTCTTGTTTGCAGCCTTGCCACCCCAGGCAGCCAATGCACTGGCCTGGAGGGCTCTTCCGTATGAAAAGCTTAGTTTCCAGGGCCTTGGTAGAGGGCAACGGTTAATAGCATTGAGGTTAAGTGTAGCATCCTCCTCACTCATGCCTCCAGACAAAAAGCAGATACCTGCAATGAGAGAGGTCATTGTACTCTATAGTCCCAGCTTGGGAAAACAAGCAATAGGCCTAAAAGCAATATAATGTCTTAATCTTTCTTCTACTGGACTTGTGTGGGACTAGGTAACAAGTCAGTTTGCCCTTTCTGAGAGGGACTTTAATAGGAGGGCAGTGAAATGTTGAGGAAATGCACATATATGAGCCTTCAGGTAGACTGAAAAAGGTTCTTAACATCACACAGTAGGAGATGAAAGCATTGGATGCCTGTGAGATAGAAGATAATATCTTATTTCAAGGATCCAAACAGGTTCCACACCAATACAGATGTTTGTGGCTATCTTCTGAAGGATAAAAGCTAAGACCTTAAGTCTGAGGAGAAAGAAAGCATTACCAGGCACAGCTGCAGGAACAGTTCTGTGGAGAGCTGTGACGGTGGCCATAGCCACTTGCTCTGGTGTATACTTCTTGGTGCAGGCATGTCCAGCAGTCACCATGTTTGGCTTTAGCAGAGTGCCTTCTAGGTAAACATGATGATCATTGAGAGCCTTGTAGACAGCAGCCAGGACCTGAAGAACAAGGGGAAAAATAGATAAAACTTGGAGTAAATCTTAGAATCACCTGATGCTGGCACCTCTGTATTACAAGGGGACAGGATGAAGTAATTTCCATGTGTATCTTGCTCAAAGCTTCTAAGATTCCCCAACTCTCCTCTGGGCCATGTATTTGCAAACTATATCATGAAGCCCTACCACATGGGACCATCTCTACAACTAGTTGTCTCTCTGCATGAACTATTGTCATGACTTTATTTCCTAGACAATGTTCATCTCTTCACATTTCCTCATTCAGTGTCATTGGCTGAGACAGCCTTGATTCAGTAGTTTGCGACATCTAAACTTTCCTATGGAATCTTGATGATAATAGTAACATACATTTTAGAAACAGTTCTTTCATATCCTATCTCAGACCACACTTCTTTTTAACATGTGGAGAAATTCAGGTGAGGTAACATTATATCTGTCATACCTCCTCATGATTTATCAAGAAAATCACAGTTTTTCAAAACGTCTATGACTGGTTTAGAAAATCCCATGAGAACAACATGGTTCATAGTTTCTCATGTGAGCCTTTTAAGATTTCATAGTGTACACACAGAATTGAGGTTCAAAAGAGGCAACCTGCCTTGCCCCAGGTCCCACAGTAGGCAAAAGGACTGTCAATTCAAATCGTATTCTTACAAGACACTATACACTGAAATGTGAAGGGTTGATAGGCACCTCTTTCCCTTTCCTAAGCTACCTAATGACACTGAACTAAAGGTTATTCTGAAATCCATCTATTATGTGTTTAAGTAAAAGCTTTTTCTTAAAATAATTTTTTTAAACTGGAGTCAAGAACTTTATGTTCCAAACCTACCTTCTCAGAAACATACTGGCAGTGCTCTAGGTCATGGTCTCCATCAGGAAGCACCTCAGGCTCAACAATAGGTACCAGCCCATTCTGAAAAAGAAAATGGGAAGAGACACACAAATGAAGCAGTGCTCACTGCGGTCCTCTGCCAGGGAGCAGCCAACAAATGTGGCTGAAAGAAAAGAAAGGTGTTAGGGAGAAATGTTGTTTTGTTTAGCTGATGACAGTTAAAAGAAATGTACGGAGTATCTAGTGAGCACTTGTGGCTTAGACACACAGACAAAAGCAAAGTTAAAGAAGAACTTTTCTGGAGTGGGTGTTAAAATGCAAACATTTAATTTCTATATCTTATTCTAACTACAGACCATTCTAGCTGTCTAAGAAACTAGAGGCTATCTTTTTCAAAGTTTAACATGAAGAAATATCTTCTACTATGAATTAATGGAGAGTTTATAGTTCTTACTGGAAATTTTCAGGTACCCACAACTACAGTAATCTTAACAAAATATCCACAGTTGCAAATCAAATTTAAGTCTAACTCAGAAATGCATCAACTCATGTTGGCTTTGAAATGTTAACATCCAGTTATCATCCTATAAGAAAAAAGTTGTTATGGAGACTAGTTCCAAGTTACACCCTCTAGCTAGCGATCTAAGATGGTTTTCTCTGGGACATTATGAAGTATAAACAAGCAGATTCCCTGCCTTTAGACCAATCGTTCTCAACCTGTAGGTCACAGCCCCTTCAGGGCTCACATGTCAGATACCCCGTATATCAGATATTTACGTTACGATTCATAACAGCAGAATTACAGTTATGGAGTAGCAACAAAATAATGTTTGAGGGTCACTACAACATGAGTAACTGTATTAAAGGGTTGCCACATTAGGATAGTTGAGAACCACTGCTCTAGGGCCTTATTTATTTATTTATTTATTTATGAAGCTGAGCTGGACTTCATTAAAAGTTTTTATTCTGCTCTGATTGTGTGTGTGTGTGTGTGTGTGTGTGTGTATGTATTGCTATTTCAGGTCCTTTTATTTATTTATATACCAAATATTGCCTCCTCCTGATATTTTTAAGATTTGGCTTATAGAACTGTGGTAGAGGGCAGCAGTTGATACCATTGACCATAAAGACATAGGTTAATAAGATAAGATTTCTACTGGCTTGTAGAACCAGCGCTCTCCCTTCACATGTGGCTATAATTAAAGTAGTGTGTGTGTGTGTGTGTGTGTGTGTGTATGTGTGTGTATACATAAATATTTTTGATTGTGTCCAGTTTTGCATCCAAGATTATGTCTGACTATAATGAAATTGAAAAGCAAGACTCTGAAGAAAGGAATTTTCTATTTTTAGCACAGGGTAAAAGGAGAGCACCTGCTGACAGATGCTGGCATAGCGAGCCAGAGCATTGGCATTTTCTTGGATAGCAAGGCTGGAGGGACACTGGTCAGCGATTCTCAACACAGCACGCCACTTCCCAAAGTCAACTCCATCTTTCTTGTACTGAGCACAGCGTTCAGAGAGGCCATCAAGTCCTGCAAGTCACAACAGAAAGAGGGGAGGAGCTTCTTTGTACCGTGTGCCTAGTTCATGGGGCTTCTCGTTAAGTAAAGGATTTTTCTAATGGGTTGTGTTTGAGAACTAAGAATACCCAAACAAATAAGAATTGATCCCAGGATGGAGCCAGAAGGCCCAGATTTTGACATATTTGAGGTACTCTAAGTAAAGCCTAAGGAACTCATCGTCAAAAACAATCCTCATAAATGTGAAAATTGATGGTCTTTAAATGTCCTGATCATAAATTTGGAATAAGTGGAAAATGAAAGCTGAGATGCAAATTCTGCTGAGTTAACCTGTCAGGTGGGACTAACTTCCTGGACAGGGAATATCTTTCAAAAAGATCTGTTTAGCATGTTATGGAAAAAGGATCCAAACTTACCCCCAAACCTGAGGTCTTTCCTCTCTACTATTCCTGGAATTTTCTGTAAAAATAGTGTTTCCAGGTACAGTGTGTCTTTTCTAGGCAACAGACTGAGGTAAGTACTATATATAAGTACAGTGTTTAAAATAGACTATAACTAGTCTGTAAAGTAAGTATTGTCACCCATTTTATTGTGATAGATGATAGAACTAAGGATTGGCCCAGGGTCACAGTTATTAAACAGACAAGGTGGGATTGCTACTGAGGATGTAGCTCAGTGGTAGGGTACTTGCCCTGCATGTGTGTAGCCTTGGGTTCAATACCCAGTACCCACAAAGCTGGGTGTTCTAGCTTATTCCCATAATCCAATACTCTGGAGACTGAGACCGAGGTGGGTTACTGTGAGTTCCAGGCCAGCCTGAACTACAGAATGAGACTATCTCAAAACCCAGATGAAGTTGACTACATGGCTCAGTAAATAAAGATGCTTGCTGCCAGTGGTGACCAGAGTTTGAGCCCCAGGACTCCCATACTGGAAGAAAGGGACTAAGTTGTATTCCAACCTACACACACACACAGTATGGTACAGGCACATGCGCACACCCATGTCCTTGCACACACACACATACCATAAAAAGGAAAAAAATTAGGGATAGAGTTTAGCTGTAGAGAGATTGCTTGGTATACTGAAGGCCCTGAGTTCAATTGGCAGTGGGTACAAGAGAAAAAAGAAGAAAGAAAGGGAGGGAGAAATGGAGGGAAGAAAAGGGAAGGAAGGAAGGAAGGAGGGGGAAGGAGAGATAAGGAAGGCTGGCAGTCTGGGCTGTGTATGTATCTCAGTGGCAGATTTTGTCTAGTGATATTGGAAAGCCCCTGGGTTCCATCTCCAGCACCAAGGAGTGTTTGGAGGAACAAGGAGAAGAAAACAAACATGCAGGTATGCCCACTGGTGTTAGAACTGATAGTCACCTCGTTTTCCTTCACTTGCCTTCAACTCCACCCTACCTGGCATCCTTTGTCTCATCAGTAGACAAGGTTCTTACCTTGAATGGTAGTTTCTTTGTTTGTTCCTGCAAGTGGGGCACCTCCTTGGTCCAACTGTGGATAAAACAATGAACAGTTTGAGGAGGATCAAGCAAGAGTGAGAGGAATTCTCATCTTTCACAAGCAAGTCAATTAGGAAAGCCTCTGAGTCGCTGTGGAGACTCAAATCCATTCTGCTCGGCAGAAGCGAGACTGCCTGCTGGGAACCCAGCTTCTGTCCTGACATTTACAAAGCATCTGCTCCCCCAGGCACTGTGTTCAGACAGGAGGTAAGAGATTAGAAGTGCAGTGTCTGCTCAAAGTAAAAGAGAGGTAGGTAGGATGTGTTTCAGCATCCCACAGACTCCAGTTTTCATTTCTACTCTAAAGTAAGGAGAGGAGTTAACTCTACCTCTGTATTTTGTATGCTGGATTAAGTAGTGCTTGCAGATGTGCGTATTCAATGCATGCCCATTTTCACTGGAGAACTGCATGCTGTATTGAAGACTCAGGACAAGTGGTTTAATAGAAACAACTGTTGACTCATAAGCTACAGGACAGGGTCTGCTTTAAAACCAGGTTCGTTCCTTATATCATTTGTGAAGCAGATATTCATTCACAAGAAATAAGGAAATAGGTATGCAGAAACACTAAATGTCTGGCAAAACAAACAAACGAACAAACAAAACAAAACACAATCCCCTGGTTGCAAAGAGAGCACTACAGTAGAAATCTAGACGAGGATCCCGGTCTCCATCTGGGAATGAAAAGGGGTGAGAAATGAAGGTGCGCTGCTAAGTTCAGTCTTTGTACTATCCAGGTTGCTGCGAGTGTGCCTAGGAAAAGTCCGAGTGAAATAGGAATCGGAGTACTCACCTTGATCCCCACCACAATTCCCTTTTCCTTGAGAATGTTTCTGAACAGCTTTCCCTGGCTGTCCTTCTGGTAGAGGGTCTCATGGAAAAGGATCACTCCGCCGATGCTCTGGCTGATGGAATTGTCCACACTAAAGAGGATTTCTCGGAACTGCCTCCGGTTCTCTTCCGTGTTTTCCACCTTTATCCTCTGTAGGCGGTTTCCCATGGTGCCTAGGGAGACCGGCCAAAGGTAGGGTGAGGGGAAGCAAGCCAGTGCTATACTGTCATCTTTGCCCATGCTCAGTATTTCTCATGGGGTGAGAAGCAAGGACCCCTTCGCCTCTTTTAATTCTAGATCTTCAAAGTTCCTGTGTGGATTTTGGTCCTCAAAGAAGGAGACATTAGTTGCTCTAAGACTGATAACTAGGAAATATACAAGCTGCCATGTAAGGGTCAGGTGGACACATGAAGGCTCTTTGGGATGTGAAAGGCCCTCTAGCCTTCTCCTCTCCCCTCCCCTCCCCTTCTTGCCCCTCCCCTCCTTGTCTAAATTTCATTGGATACCCACTCAGTGGATGGAGGGATGAGACAGACTCTTTAACTCTTACAATTTTAGTGTAGACTATGCGAGACTCTAGCTCTGCCTTGTGCATCCTGTGACTTCCTCAGTCACCAGCCCTGCCCTAGTCCAGGTGCCTCCCTATCTAGGCTGGTTTAGTCTAAACCGACTTCTCCTTAGCCACAGGTCCAAACTGGGATAAGGCAGAGCTCACTAACCACTTCTGATTTGCATGACAAATCTAGCTCATTTCTCTTTCCCTTCAGGGTAAGTTCTCAATATCCTGTCCACAATACACAATTATAAAGAAAGAACTGACAGCTATAGATTCTCCTTGGTTATTGAACTTCTGACTTCTACAGACTAGATTCCTAATATGGAGGACCTGAGTTTCTTCATTTGGTATTCCGGAATGTTCTTATTAATATTCTAGGGCTCGAATGGTCTATCTACACTCACTAAGTACATAAACCTTTACTTCCTCTGAGAGGAAGGAGACTGATTATCAAGTTGCCTTTTCCAGAGTTCAAGCACAGTATGCTCTTGTGTGGCATAACTTTCTTACACTCACCCACAGATTCATCTGCAGCCAGGATGCCCTTCCCATTGGCGACAATGCGCTGGGCAATTTCAGAGAGCTCCTTCTTCTGCTCTGAGGTGAGGGCTGGAAATCGGTGAGCCATGATGACAGGTCTACAAAAGAGAATACAGGACAACTGTACATGCAATTGCGGGTGTCTCCGATGGATTAGTGGCCAGGACAGTTAAAATGTGCAGACAGGCTAGATGGGCCCCCTTTGTCACTTCTGGCCCGTTTCCAACGATCCCTGTTGTGTCCCCTTCACCTGAGTAAGGGTGGTTATTCATGATGGATAAGGTAAAATGACAGATGTCATTGGATGAAGGGTGAAGGTAAGAAGTCAAATACTCTTAGTAGCCCTAAATAGACTTCCCAAGAGACCTTTGAGATCACTGATCCTGAGGCTGAACCACTAAAATCTGTCAAATGGAAAAAACTTTAGGAATGGGCTGTGACTTTAGGGTGCTGGAGGGTATTCCAAACAGCCCTGACTACACCCCCTGCCCCCCACTTTCCTTTGTTAGTCTCTAGTACTAGCAGATTATTCTTTAGGGAACAATTTTAAGAGGGGAAACATATGGTTGTCCTTAAAATTAACCTCCCTCTGCCTTTGGATTAGAGCAGATGAGGCACAGGGTTAATTTTCCTTGCATTTAACCATCTGTGAGACTTCTTGGGTTGCACCACTGAGAAATTTTCCTAAGAGCCTCTGGACTAAGAGGAGTTCTGGCCTCTGCTGAAATCAAATGGTGTTTTCTGTTGCACATATCCTCTCTGCTAAGCACAGAGAGACACATCCACATACCCAAGCAGCCCTCTCTGTAGCAGCATGAGCTCCAAGTTGGAAGAAAGCTAATTTGCTACCCAGCTTTATCCTTTAGCCACCTCTTCCTATTCTCTGTATCCCTTTGGGGGAAGTTCTCAGTGTCCTGTCCCTTGAGATACAAGGAACCAATGCCTGCTGAGCTAATCCATGAGAAGGTATACCTGGTGACATAACTACTGCTACTCTGTACTTCCCAAATTCTCATCCTAACTCAATACTGTCAGTGGGCATTAGGGAAAGCCGGTGGGCAACAGTTTTAGGGGAAAAAATATTTCTTAGACTCTTTCTAGTCCCAGCTACAGGTAGAAGGCATTTTCCACATTTATATAGTATGTCTAGCTTGTCTAGCTTCAAGGATTTTTAGCTTCAGTTTAAAGATCTTCAAACGGGAAAAGGCCAACCAAAGTAGTAACCTTCAAATGAAGGTACAAAATGCCCCTCTCAGTTTAACTATTGGCAGAAATAAGTTGACAGTTGCCCAAAAAAATCCATTATAAAACAAATGAAAAATTGATACAGTAATAATAACACATTATTGTTGTTTGTCACACATGTTGCCAATTGCTTAGCACTTACCATGTAATTTATTCCTTACAGTAATCCCAAAAAGGAGATCGATTCTTCCCCTCTCTGTGGTAGTTTAAATGAGAGTGATCTCTGTATATATATTTGAATACTCAGACCCCAACTGTTAGAACTATTTAAGACAGATTAGGAGGTATGGCCTTGTTGGAGGAGATGTGTTACTGGGAACTGACTTTGAGATTTCAAAAGCCTATGTCATTCCCAGTTAGCTCTCTCTCTCTTTCAGCCTCATGAATGTGCCTCAAGATAAAAGCTCTCAGCTACTAATCTAGTGCTATGCTTGCCTGCCTGCTGCCATGCTCTCTGTTATGATGGTCATAGACTGTAGCCCTCTGGAACTATGAGCCTTAAATTAGATGCGTTCTTTTATAAATTGCCTTGGTCATGGTGTTTTTGTCGTGGCAATAGAAAAGTTACTAAAAACCACACTCCTATCGTATTCGGAGGGACTATATGATCATCTAAGTTATTTGTTGTAGGGCTAATACCTAATAATGTACAAAGTGAGGGGAAAGGGTGGTGCTCCCTCTCGTTCCCCATTTATTCAAAGGGGAGAGTGGATCTGGTGGATGTAATTGGCCTGAGGGAATCCTAATTTCCTAATGACTGTCTAGTGCGCCTTGGGCTATGAGTTCTTAAACCAAGATATCACCAACTCACAAACATCTGACATTCATATGGAGATTTACTGCCAGCTTATCAGACAGAGCCTTGGTTCAAGGACCAGCAATCCGTCCCTAGTTAGAATCTTGGACAAATCATAAAAGGTCTCTGAGTTTTATTTTAATATCAATTACTTGACACTAATATCTGCTTTAGTTATCTGGTTACAGATGACTCACATGCAACCTCTGAATACTGTGGTTGCTCAAAGCGTAAGCTTGTTGAGCTGGGTGATAAGTATGAAGATGTTTCATAAATGACAGGGAAACACAAGGTATTAGTATTTCCGTTTTTTAGCTTTTGAAAGAGCAGTCATGTTCACCTAAAGAGCACCGCTGATTCTGTTACTCCTGAGCTATTTTTCTCCATCCTGGGTATGCCGACTCAGCAACAATTACAGAGAAAAGTCAAACTCATCCTGTTAACAGAAAGTTAAACTTCTACAAAGGGACTAAAGGTCTGTACCACATCAGCACAAATTTTGCCCCTAAGTTAATCATAAAACAGAGTCACAGGTCAATGTTCGTCACTGGAAGACGGAACGGCCACCCTGGAATACTTAACGATAGTGAACTTTACTCCTTTAAACTTTTGATTTCTAAGGTCCCAAGTCACTTTATTTTTAAAAGTGTAATGGAAAATTTTCATTAATTATCAAATGAAAAGCTTCAAGAGAAGTATGTAATGAATGCTTATTGTCCTATTTTTAAAAAAAATCACAAAAGAAATTACAGCAATATATTATGTGTTAGTCTTTCTAAACTAAAAGAAGCCACTCGACTGTTATTTCTACAGAGTGGAGGAGAGTGAAGTAGAGCCTTACATCCTGCTGCATACATTCTTTGCCATGTTTGATTTTGTGTGTGTGTATGTGTGTGTGTGTGTGTGTGTGTGTGTGCGCGTGTGTATGCTGCATATATAAATCGTGGGAAAGGTTATACATATTAACGTATGTGAGGAGACAGTAAATATAGTGAGGCAGAGCACAGTTGCCTCAACATATTTTGGTGTAAGTTTCTGAAAAGCAGGCATACTGTGAGAATATGTTGTCTTTTTTATAACCCCTCTTCAGCAAGTTACCTCGGGCTCCATAGGCCAGTTTGGCTCAGCCATTGCTTGCACTGTGCTGCTCTGGTACATCTGGGAAGCACATAGGTCCAGTTAGAGTTCAAGGGGGTAGAATAGGGAATAGCCTACCACCTTAAAGATGAGGAAACTGAGGCTGAGGAAGCCCTGAGTTATATTCTGTGGCTGTGAGTCACATTTTAGTGGCTTCTGACATTGAACGCTATGTCCGTTCTTTCTACAAAAGGGTGGGTAGAATCTTGCTGTGTGGTTCTTCCTGTGTTCCTTGAAGAGGTTCTACAGTCAATCATCTGTAAGGCGTGGATGTTTAACTCCTGGGGAAATGTAAGAGCAGAGCAAAAGCTTCTCTGTGCCTGAGACAGGTGGGTTTTCAAGACAAACACAGAGGTGAGGCTGTAATTCATTGAACGTCTGTGTTACCAAGCCATGTCCACAGCACCTATGTGTATGATATATGAGAGCATGAAGATGCACACAGCTTTGCTGCCCACTCTGCTGCTACAGAGGCACACCTGATAAGCTAGATGCCTTAGAGCTGCCCTTTCCTAGTGTTCTTTTCCCAAAACTGTGTCCTAAACCACAGAGACTGTCACGTTTTCAGCAGCTATACACCATTCTCTGTCCTACCACTTCTAACCTGGACCTATGCACTCCCCAGATGTAACACAGCAGCAGAGAGTTCAAGCCCTGGCTGAGCCAAACTGTCCTATGGCGCCCTAGGTAACTGGCTGAAGAGGGATTTATAAAAAAAAGACAACATATTCTCACAATAAGCCTGGTTTTCAAATAGTAGAGAAAACACACCAAAATAAATCAGGAGGATTTAATTCCTAACGTCTGAAGCTGCAATGGCTCTCACAGTGTTTTCTACTTTAGGTAGAAAATACTAGGGAAAATATCAAGTATGTTGGAAGGCTTGGGAATTCACAATGGAAGATGATCACTCTGAAGTGGCCAACCCTGCTCCATCTCTTCATTTGAGCAATGGAAGAAGGCAAAGGGCAAAGGCTCTAAGGATTCATTTGTGTGAGGACGAAACTCCAGCACTAATACACTTAGGTGTGGGAAGAGAACACAGAAAATGAGGAGGCGGTAGATACGTAAACAAAACAGTACAGTAAGTAGTTGCTAGGGAAAAAATAGAAGTGTTTACAGTATTCCAAGACAAAGACTCAAGAGGTGCCTCGCACAGGCAAACAGTAACTGCCCATTCATTTGGAACAATATTTGCCAACTCCAGGAAAGGTATGAATGAGATATTCATGCTCAGAGAGAGAGAGATAACAGTCAGTGCAGCAGCTCCATCAAACCAGGCAAACATACATTCCCCTCTCCAGGTACTACGTTATCATTAACCCACCTTGCTGGGCTAACCCAGGTTTCAGAGGAAATCCTTTTACTTACACAGCAAAAGGGAAGAGTCCTCCAAGATGTCAGAAGCTGTGTGAGGTGGCAGCCACCAAATAGGATGGATCTGCTTGGAAGAGCACGGTTTTTATAGCCCTCTTATCAAAGTCTGGTTAATTTTTTTTTAACTTTTGCCCTCCCCCTCCTACCGTGACCCAGTAGGGAGGTGTTTATTCAATAACTCTGATTGGCGCGTGAACAGCCAATCTTTGTAATCAGGCTCACACACTCCTAACACTCACAGAATGTTAGAGCTACAAGGGAGTCTTTAGATTACACAGCTCCCAGTCCAGACCTGACTCTCTACAGGTGAGGAAAATATGAGACTTCCCACAGATCACACGGCGAGAGATAACTGAGAGCTGGATCTCTCAAGAGGCTCTGGAAGGGTGCTGGCTCAGCTCTCTTTCCAAGCACATACATTCCTCAGGGACATTCACGTATTGGTTTATTTATTTTTAGCCCTCTGAGCCTTAATTTCTTCCTTTGGAGAGTGAGACTCATCCTCACAAGGGCACTGGGTTCATAGAGTCTACATACACAAGACACTGCAAAATTATTAATTACAAATTAACCCAGCAATATCTTATTTCCGTTGCTTATATCTGTGCTTCTTTTTTTGTTTGTTTGTTTTTTTGTTTTGTTTCTTTTTCGAGACAGTGTTTCTCTGTGTAGCCCTGGTATCTGTGCTTCTTTAGTAGCCACTTGCTGCACATCTTTTAAACTTTATAAATAATTTCTCAATGATCTTTCAGCAAAAGTAAAATTCTGACTCTTGAATTCCTGTTTGTTGTTTTATTTTGGTAGAAATAATTTATCTATCTATCTATCTATCTATCTATCTATCTATCTATCTATCTATGGGGACACCACAGTGTGAATGTGGATGCCTGAAGAAAATTTAGGGGGATAGTTTCTCTCCTTCTACCACATGGGACCCTGAAATGAAACTCAGGTATTGTGCTTGGCAGCAGGCATCTTTACCCATGAAACCACCCTCCCACCTCTCCAAATACTAAAAGAAATTGTTATTTCCCCACACATGTCCCCATCTCCAAAAATTCCATTGCTTCACCAATGTATTTCATGCCAGATCACATTCAATTGTTCACTGTTCTCATCCTACCTCAGTATCTCCACCTTTTAAAAGATACTTTTCATTCATTATAAGTTCTATACATGAATACAATGTATGTTGATCAATTCCATCTACCACTACCCCCTCCAACTCTCCTAGTAGCCTCATTCCATCTCCCTCCTAGTTTAATGTCCTCTCTTTATTCACTTGTTGTTGGCAGTAAGTCCCCCAAGTCTAACTAGCACTGTCTATGTGCACATGGGTGCTTAGCATCCATGGGGCATGGTTAATAGACCAGCAGCCATATTCTTGAAGGACAGTAACTCTCTCCCACAGCAGCCATCAGCTACCAATGACTCCTCTCATAATAGTAGAGCCTCAAGGGCCTCTTTTCCATCCATGCTGGATTTTTGACTTCTTGATCTTATACAGGTCGTGTGCAGGTAGCCACATCTGCTGAGCGTTGAAGAGTGAAATACCCATGGCATGTCTGGAAGTCAGCACTTCACAGTTCACCTTTTCACCCACAGTTCATATATTCTTTCTGATCCATACTCTGTGAAGTTCTCTGGGACCTGGAGATATGCTCAAGATTAAAGGTTCAAGTGACTATAGGGGAATTTGGGAGAGGAAAGGGTAAGGGGTTATTAGTCAAAATTAAGAATACATGAAGATATGGATATCTAGTTTGTAAGCTAATGAAAAGCCTATGATATATTTTTAAATGGGGAATTTGAACAAAAGTATCATGCATGAACGTAGAATGATGCTTCCAGAAGATATGAGTTGTGAAATGGAAATGATATACTTTCTTAAAAATTGTTGGTCAGAGAAGTCCCAGAGGCACCCAAAATGACATAGGATACTGTTACTGTTCTTGGCTGACTCCCATAACTAGACAACATCATATTGTTGGAGACACCACTCACTTTGGACATAGTGATATCAACCTTGAGCTGACCAGGAAACTTAGTGCCACTAGGTACTTTCCATGATGCCAGGGGAGAAGAGACATCAATAGTCTTACCCAGCACTTCACTGATCTACTGGCAAGATGTGTCCATTGGTTCAAAGAGGTATGAATGTTCGAAGGATGGCCAACCACTTTCTGATTGGATTTGAGTCCACAGGAGGGATTTCATGCTGAGACTATAAACCAGGTTGAAAGCCCACTAGGGAGACAGATCACAGGCTCCATGGGCAATCTCTAGTGTTCTGTTAAATGATCTTGCCGTCAGATTCATTTGAAATATTTATATTTTTACCTGTAGATTTATGCTGATCTCAACTTCTGTCAGAGGACACTCTTTCTTCAGTGGGCTGTAGTTAATGCAGAAATTGGTAACTATTAAGTGTGGAGTAGAAACAAAGGTAGGTAGGCCATCCCTCTCAATCCTTCTACACTGTCTTCAAAGTCAGTAAAAAATTGAATTGAACTTAATGTTGTCCTAATCTGTCAGAACCTCCCAACTATGGCACAAAGTTCACTGTGTGGATTTCCCCACTGAGTATTAGATCTAAATTTAATGTTAAAGAAAGTAAATAAAAAATATTAATTATGGGCTGGAGGGACTACTCAGAGGTTAAGAGCACTGACTGCTCTTTCCAGAGGTCCTGAGTTTAATTCCCAGCAACCACGTGGTGGCTCACAACCATCAGTATGGGATCCTATCCCCTTTTCCGGTGTACTCACATATATAAAACAAGAAAATATTTTTAAAAATTATAAAAAAATTAAGTACTTCCTGAGGCAAATGATAAAAGAGACATAATCTAGACATAGTGGAATTATCATGACACAGGATAATATAAGTTCTTTAAACCACATTGCTTTGAAGTATCTCATAAAATGAAAAGCCAAAGCAAAGTGCTTAGTGTTGCAGAGTGCAACACTAGAATTCATTGGCTAAAATGAGAAGCAGTGTGTTTAGAGATGGCTCCGTGGCTGAAAGGCTTTCTGTACAAGCACAAGAAGCTGACTTAGATCCGATCCCCAGCACTTATGTAAAAAACAAGGTGCAGAATGTGCCTGCAGTCTCAGTGCTGGGAGCAAATCTTGGGGGCAGCCCACAAATTCTAAGTTCAGGGAGAAAAACTGTCTCAGAAAATAAGATGGAGAGTGATGAAGAAGACAGCCTGTGTTAACCTCAGACCTCTGCATCCACACACAAGTACATATGCATACACACACACACACACACACACACACACAAATGCACAGAGTACACACATACACACAGAGAAGAGAAGGCAAAGTTGAAATGAGACAAAATCTCTCAATTCAAGCTTGACAGCTTCTAAAAACAGTAAATGTTAGACATCAAATTGATAATTCAAGGAAAATGAGGTTTTTGAGACAAAGTTGAGGTTCATTCGGCCAGAGATGCTTTGATCTTGTTTTGATCTTGTCCTAGGTGCTTCAGAGAGCTTCATCAAATGATCCCCATCAATCCTTGACACCATTGGCTACCCAATGACACATGTTCTGGTTCCTACATCTCCACCAGGTACTGCTCATCAAAGCACTTGGTTTTAAACTCTGGCAACAAGATGGCCCAGGCTTGAGATCTGTGAGGTTTCATCATACATGATTCTGCTTAAATGAGAACGGATGGGGCTGGAGGTGTAGCTCCGTGTAGCTCAGCTCTATGGCACATGCTCAACATGCAGGGACATCTGAAAAGAGAAAAATCAAGAAAGCTGAGTGGCGACAAAAGGGTTGTGAATTTTATTATGAGTGTGATGATACTCAAAACCCCTATCATTTCTTTTGTAAGGCTATCTGATACACCTTGCTCTTTGCATATATGATCTTCATGCTCGTGCACACATTTAATTACTGTGCCTTCTCAAGACAGGTTTATTGTCTCTATTTTAGACTCAAAAAAAAAAAAACCTAAAAAACCTAAGATAGAGCAAGAAACTTGTCCAGACTCACAAGGCAGCCACAGGGAGTGTCAGTTGCTGTCAGCCATAGTCTGAAGCAGACTCAGCCATGTTTCAGTAGCCAGAGACAGCATGAGTTAGTTCATTCCCCATTCCCTTCTAAGCGGTTTATGACCTTGGACATTAAACCTGCATAATTCAAAGAGGAATGACTTACGTCGGCAGGTAGGCATCCTGCTTAGACTGGGCATCGTTTCACGTGGACAGCTGCCTGGCCAGGCATGTCAGAGGAGCAGGAGTACCCCTGCTCCTGTATAGTACTACAGAATGCTGCTTCTGTGGTATCAGCATGCCCACCACCGGAGCTTGTAGTGAGACTGAAACTCAAAGGTCAAGAGCAAAGCTAATACTTGTCGAACCTCAGAAAACAACCAACTGCTGACTCAAACAGATTGCCTACAGGATTGCTGTATTGTTGTTCAGTTGTTTGGTTTTTGTTTTTTGTTGTCTCTGAGGATTTTTGTTATTTGGTTCCTTTTTGGCTGGGAGAACTGTTGTCCTTTGTAAAAGTCTCTTAAGTATTAGAATCTTCAAAGTTAAGCTATGATCTATATTGGAAGACTAGTGGACTGGAAGGCTGTGAAACACTGGGGAATGCCCTATTGTTGTAAATGGTCCTTAATAAATCTATTAATTCTTAATATGATCCAGCCAGCCCCCCAATAATCGAAGCAAAATCTTAAGGATTTATTTAATCAATGTTAGCAAAATTACTGAGTAAATTACTCTTAATCTATTTTTCTATGTGCTAGACTGTTAATTCCTAGCATAGCTTCCCGTATACTTGCTGTTTGAGTCTCACCTGCGTTATTTCTGCTCCATCAGTCTGTCCTTAGGAAGCATTTCTCCTGATCACGTGCTCACGGTTCCTCTCCTCTCGTGACAGCCTCCTCCTCTCTGTCTTCCTCTTTCTTCTCTCTTTCTTCTTCTCTCTCCTTGTGGTCCCTATTTGCGACCCCCCCCCCAAGCCAGGCAACTGAAACCCTGCCTACCTCTATTCTCCCCAGGGATTGGCTGTAACTATTTTTATTTAACTAGTCAGAGAAGATTATTGGCAAGCAAAGTTTATACAACATCATTTGGTGTATGTGAGGATGCATTTGTCAGACTGCAATCAGATTTTGGGGGCCAGTATTTAACATTTGAATATATAACCATACCAGATCAATCCCTACTCAGAAATGTTCCAATCTTATGGATGCACATTTTTCACAATAAATGAAATGAGATAGCGATGTCTCCAGCAGAACTTAATTGTGAGGGCTAAGGGTGTGATGTAGCGGAAAGTGCTTGCCTGGCACGTGTAAAGCCCGAGATTCAATCTCCACTACGAAAACCCAGAACTAATCAACCGCACAACAAAACACCAGAAACTGATTATCAACAGTGAATTTAATAACATGAGAAGGGGTCTAGCAGAGAGCAGGATTTTTATTACATATCTGATTTATATGCCAAACTCTGAGAGGTGTCCAATTACAGATTATTTCAAGAGGCAATGTAATATTATTCATGGTCCTTACCAGCAGTGTGTTCAGTGACTCTCCCTGTATTATCTAATTGCTGCCCCACTCTCAATACTTGTGACTTGAATAATAATCAAGTTAAATGTATTCATAGACAGCATGAGATGTGAGTCACAAAGAAGCCAGCACCTGTAAGCATGGACCACTGCCACGTTAATGATACTGAGGGGAAAGAACTCTAAAAAAGAGGCTCCATCCTCATGTGACAGCTGGAATAATCAAAACTGAGCTTTCATATATAATATAATATAATATAATATAATATAATATAATAAATATAATATAATATAATATAATATAATATAATATAATATATATAATATATTGTATATATAATATATAATATATATAATATATATTTTTTTCAAAAATGCAGTAGAGATATTTCTTTATTGTTTTGCTATCTACTTTTGAGGCTAAGCTGGTTCTGAACTGTCATTGTTTTAGCCATGGAGTTGTGGGCTAGTGTTATCAGCACAGTTTGCCTAGTTTTTTATTGAGTTTCTATAGCTGGCCTTTGTTTAGCTCTGTGGATGTTTTGTAGAGGATATACTGTATTTGAGAGTACAGGACAAGCAACATTGGTCTAATCTTAAGGAACTCACAACCTCAGGGGTAGAAGAAGATTGAGGCCACAAATCAAATCAAAATGGGACTGAATACAAAAAAGCTAATAAATTGTCATGGAAGAGTGGTGGTGGTGTGTGCGGTAGCGGTGGTGGTGGTGGTGGTGGTGGTGGTGGTGGTAGTGGTGATGCTGGTGGTGGCAGTGACGGTGGTGGTGGTGGTAGTGGTGATGCTGGTGGTGGCAGTGACGGTGGTGGTGGTGGTGGTGGTGATGCTGATGGTGGCAGTGACGGTGGTGGTGTTCATGGTGGGGAGGGGCTTGTCATGGCAGTGTCCATGAATGATTCCATGAAGTAACATGAAGGAAGGGATCCAAGAAAAGTGTGAGTGTTACAGTTTTGTACACGGCCAATTAATGCTTCATGCTGGTAGTTTCAGCCAGCCTGTTACACCTACAAGGGTTGGTGGGACAGTGATGCTTCACCATTGCCCCCAGTATCTAGTGCTGTGACTGGAGTATACTAGGTACCTAATCATGTTGAATAAATGTGTCAATAGGAGCACAGATTCATCCATACAAGTCTTGAAATGTCTAGAGTAACTGGCTTTCTTATTTTTATTCTCCATGATCTTTGAAATAACTGACAATAGAATATGGTCTGCACCATCCTAGATTTTGAAAGCTTCTATTATTCCTTTCCAGTTTCACAGGAATCCCCTGTCAATTACACAAGAACCACAGACCCCCCTAGTTCTAAAACAATACACTGATAAAATACACATGACATAATGTTTGCCATCTTGATAATTTTAAGCATCCAGTTTAATATCATCAAGAATATATGCATTGTTAAGAATCAGATTTTTACAATTTGCACAAAACTGAAACTCTACGTATTAAACAATGCTTCATTTCATCCTCTCCCCTGAGTCTGGCAACCTCTATTCTCTTTTCTACTTCATAAGGTGAACTACTCTAGCCTTTATATACGTGGGATCCTATAGTTGTCTCATAGCTGGTGTGCTTTAGTTAACATAATAACCTTACATTTCATTCATTTTGTAGAACCCAGACTTCATGCAGCCTCATCTAGGTACTTTGCTTCTGGCACACCATGCCTTTCCACTCAAGGCTGGGCAATATTCCATTGCATTCTTGTGTCACATCTTGTTCATCTGCTTACCAGTAAATGAACCCTTGGCTTGTTTTGACCTTTGGTTACTGTGGATAATGATGCATCAACCTAAGTGTGCAAAGATCTCCATAAAAATCATGCTTGCCTGGGATGGAGAGATGACTCAGCAGGCAAGAGCATTTTCTGTTGTTTCAGAAGATTCAAATTTGGAGCTCGGTATATAAGCTGTGTGGCTCACAACTGTCTGCAATTGCCGCTCCATTGGACCCGATGCCCACTAATGATCTCTTGGGGTCACCACGCACAAAGGGCACACATATAAACACACAAGATACATAAAATAAGAGTAATGAATCTTTTAATGTTTTGCTTGGCTAGCATGTGAAAAGCCCAGGCTTGATCTCCTGCACCTAAAAAACAAAAACAAAACCCCCTGCTTTCTGAAATAAGCTAGCCTCAGAAGGATACATTTGCACACTTTTTCTGGTCTATGAAATACAGGGAAGGTAAAAATACATAAAGTAGCCAGGCAGTGGAGGTGCGTGCCTTTAATCCCAGGATTTGGGAGGCAGAGGCAGGCAGATTTCTGAGTTCGAGGCCAGCCTGGTCTACAGAGTGAGTTCCAGGACAGACAGGGCTATACAGAGAAACCCTGTCTTGAAAAACAAAAAAACAAAAAATAAATACATAAAGTACATAAATATACATGGCGGTCTATGAATGAGGAGGAGGGGTAAAAAGAGAGTCGTATTGGTGTGAATATGACCAGAGAACATATAACAAGCATCTAGGAAGGAAAGGTCATAGTAACACCTAGTATTTGTGTAATTAGTATTTGCCAATAATGTTTAAAATTTTTACTTTCAATTCCTTTATTTTCCCTTTCATAATGTTTCAGCTTTTTTGAGAGAAAATCATATATCATTCAGTTCACCATATTAAAAAAGGATTTATTTATTTTCATTTTATGTGTATGAGTGCTTGCCTGCATATATATGTATGTAAACCGTGTTTGTGTGTGTGTGTGTCTATCAAATGGTCAGTGCCCGCAGAAGCTAGAAGGTGTTAGATCCGCTGGAACCTGAGTCATAGAAAGTTATGAGCCACCATATAGGTGCCGGGAACAAAATCTGGCTCCTCTACAAGAACAACTGATGCCTTTCATCACTAAGCTCCCTCTCCATCCCCTCAGTTCACTGCTTTTTTAAAATCTCAGAACTGGGTGGTGTAAGAGCCTTACATCACCATAATAAGGCTCAGAAGCCATCGTTAGAATGAAAGGGTTTCACCTTTCATTTCTTCATGGCAATGTTTTGACAGTCTTCATTGCTAAGCAATCAGAGATGTTCATTCTGAGGAGACCAGAGTTGAGTGCCTGTATGGGATGAGCTATCTGGGGCCAGTAAATTGAAGAGTATCTAGTCTAGGTATCAGAAAGCCTACTTCCCTAGACACAGAAGACTAGAACTGAGTCCTTACATGGACAAAGAAATTTCCCTAAAGGGTCCATATTTGCATGGTTCAACTGGAAGAATCTTGGCTGGAACTGGAATGTATCTTCTCCAGTCTTCATTAGGGGATTTCTTTCCTGAAACCTGTGCTGGCAAGTTTTTAAGACTCTGAAATCAGCAGTAATTATTTATTGAGAATTTGAGGTTTTTCTTATCTAAGGAAATGTATTCTATCACTTTAGATGTGACAGAAATAGACCAACTAGAAAAGAACTTCAGAATTACTAAAGAACCAAATCTACCTAAGAGGAGGAGTTGGAGGGCAGTCTTCAGTGGTCACCAAGCTCTGTGCTCCCATGCCCCCGCGGGCTATGCTATTTACCACCTTGTCTGTGCTTTCTCTTTGCCTGTTGCTCAATCATTTCAAAGTCCAATTCTTCCCTCACTATCTAATCTGGCAGTTAGCTAGTCATGTCATTTATGAATCCCAGCCTAGTACTTCTTTCATTGACTTTATCTCCTAGCAAAGCTGTTAGCCTTATGATGGTGGAAGGGCTTTGTGTGCCCGTAGCAGGTCACCCAGATGAGGAAGTACAAAGCCTGGATTCTGGGGCTAGTTCTATCTCTGACTAGCCACAAGATGGAGATGAACCAGTCTCCCAGATGCCATCTCCTCAGTGTGTAAAATGGGCCTAAAAATGACACCCTATCCACTCTTCTGGGCTACTGTCTAGCTCAAAAGGTGCCATTTAAATGTGACCTCTAAAAATAATGAAGCTCTTCATAACTACAAAGTTCTATCAATGCTACCTCACCAGAGCAGGCATCACAGTGCTCCTGTGGTACACACAAGCACTGATACACACACACACACACACACACACACACACACACGAATCAGAAAATATCCCTCTCTAACAACTCTGTCTCTAGTAACTACATGACGTTACTCGCAAGGGATTCTCTAAACACAGCGCAGAATGCAGTCTTCCATTTCATCTACAGTGGGGGAGGTATCTTGTCCAGTGGTAAGCAAATCCTGAGATGCAGGCTATCTTAGACCATAAAACATCTTCTCCTAAAAATACTGATTGGATTCTGCATTGACCCTTACCTAAGAATCTTCAGAATGCTGTCGTGGGTGGAAGAAATAGAGTGGGCCTAACTCCTCTCCCCACACTGTTCCACTGTAGGATTACTTCGCCATGTCTTAGTGCTCTTAGGAATAAAGAATGCCACTCAGACCTGACCTAGGATGCATTTCCCTGAGAGCCAAAGGCTCAGACTGGCCAGGGACAGTGCCCCTCAGACATTAGTTCACCACGATGCCACCTTCATACTCACAGAGTGAAGAGTAAGGCCACCCATCTCTGCTAACTTTGTTAGTTCCAATGTAATATAAATGTGTGTGTGCGCGCACAACACTGAATGAACTCACAGGGTGTATTAATATATTTATTCATATCGACTAAACAATAATAAAATAAAAGGCTGTAAATCTGACAGGGAGCAGGGAGACGTGGGAGGGACTGGAGGGAGGAAAAGAAAGGAGTAACAATAAATTTGAAACCATGAATTTGATTATTTGAAGAATTTGAATATTAACATCAGGTAGAAATTATTTCAAATTCCAGATCACAGCTTTTTGGTTGTGTAACTTCGGAGAAAAAGCACTAGTTTTTCTAGGCTGTATTAGCAAAAGGATGATAAAAATATTAATTTACAAGGTTGCAGAATTTGGTTCAATAGTGGCTAAAAGGGTTGACACAATGCCTGACAAAGGAGCCAATGCAATGGGAATGGCAGGTGTACCACTATTAGTAGGATGGGAACCACCCCTACTCAGGATGGTTCCTTTGTCCCCTCCACAGTATCCAAATACCCATCTCCAAAGAAGAGTTACTCTTAAAAGCTTTCTCTGATATACAATATCATTATGTCTGGTGTCTTTTTTTTTTTTTTTCAGAATCCTGCCATCTGACTACATCCTTCCCAAGATCTTTTCCATGTGACTTGGACAAGAATTAAGCTGGATCTGAATCCATCTCAAAGTTGCATTCCCACACTCCCAAAGATGTCCCTCGAAGAGCAGTGAGGAACTGTAAATAAGGACAGCTCACCCTCCTCCACACATATCAATAAGAACTAACAGAAGGAGACAGAAGGGGGAGAAGCGGGTTTGAGGTGAATGAAGAAACGACCATATTAACTGTGGGAAGTGTCAAGGGGAATGGCGGGGGGAGGGGTGACCATGAATTTAAGCCATTCATCTGTGCTTCTGAGTCACAAGATGACTGAGTAGCAGAAGGGCTATCCGTCCACCCTGCCACCCTGCCAAGCAGGCAGACAGGTTAACTTCCGCCACCCGGAGAGCGCAGCCAGACTGCGTGGACACAGCCTGGGTGGCACAGAGATTTCCAGGCCTGCCCCGTGCCCTGCTGCCCTGTCTCTCATGGTTTGTAATATGAGGCTGGAACAAGTTGTCTCTGTGGCAGGGAGCCAGGGAGCATTTGCTTCCCCTACTGCACCCAGCGCGTGGGCGAGGAGCACGTGGAATGACCATGACCTGGAGCCTATTCCCTTGCTCCAGTAGCACCTGGTGTGGGGAAGAGGGGAGGAGTCTTCCCCTTTGAATCAACCTGTTTCCCACCCCAGACTGGGGCGGGGCCAGCAGGCTAGGCTCCTTTTGCTATGCCTGTAGGTGACTTGTACTGGAATCACTTGCCAAAAGAGAATCTAGCTCCTTGGATTCCAAGGAGGAAGATTAAAGCTGTCACTTCAGAGAGTGTGAAGACTAAAAAAGTCAGACACTTATTACAAGATCACCATGTTCTGCAGTGTCCCAGTCAGAGAAAACAAATGGCTTTCTAAGAGCTTCTGCTAACCTTGTAGGAAGGTAAGCCTGCCAGTCATGTCTCCAGGGCCTCAAGCTGTCCTCCAAATCATCTCTCAGATGCCAAGATGCATATTCTCATGCCCCCACCGCCTAGGAGGCAAGGAGGACAGCTGCCTGTAGTGTTTCTGAAAAAGTCCCTGTTACACAGGTCTGCTAGGGAGGTAAGGCTTTGTCACAGATGCAGACGGAGGTCAGAGTTCAGCGTGGCATTCCTTGTCAGTTTAGATCCAGAGGGAACTGATTTAGATTTCCATTCCAGAATCTCCACAAAGTGTGCAGTGCATTCCCTCAAGTTTGGAGAAGTTGCCAGTGTGCATGCACATGAGTGTGTGTGTGTGTGTGTGTGTGTGTGTGTTACACACACACTTTGCACCTTTAAACAAACTTTGCACCTTTAAACGAGTCAACTAACTAAGCTACATGCCAGAGCTACCTATTCTGCTAGCAACAAGTCACTCTCAGAAGCCTTGAGGATTCCTGTGACCAGAGGGTAGCCTCCTCCGTGGGCATTGTGGTATTACAGAGAAATTTTAATTTCTCTCTTCACTACTTACTAAGGTTGTAGGAGGAGGACCCTAAGAAAGACAAGGGAGAGGTTTGCCAGTGTGCTCAAGGGAAGGTGATTAATTTCTGAGACATTGGGAAAGAATACAAATGAGGAACCTGTGGGAAGAGTTGGGAGTCTCAACTGCACACTCACTTACGTGTGCATGGTATGTGTGTGTGTGTGTGTGTGTGTGTGTGTGTGATGGAAGGTGGAGGGTGATGCATGTTGAGGTATGAGGAAGAAATGATGAAGAATAGCTTTTCCATGGCTCTGTTTTCCTTTTCTCTCCTGAGACTGTAGGAATGGAAAAGGTTTAGAAAACAAGAGACAAGCCAGGCAGTGGTGGCGCACGCCTTTAATCCCAGCACTTGGGAGGCAGAGGCAGGCTGATTTCTGAGTTCAAGGCCAGCCTGGTCTACAGAGTGAGTTCCAGGACAGCCAGGGCTATACAGAGAAACCCTGTCTCAAAAACCAAAAAAAAAAAAAAAAAAAAAAAAGGTGGGGCTTTTGTTGAAAAGGAAGGAAACATGGTGCTATTAAGGACAGTAAACTAATGTTGGGAGATGATGACTCAGCTGGTAAAAGGCTCAGCCTGCCATGAGAACCTGAGCTCAAGCCCCAGAAGTCATGTAAAAAGCTGGGTATATTATTGATTTTTAGATGCAAGTTTGTTTTCTAATGATAGAGAGAAAGGGTATGGATTTGGGTAGGTAAGAGATGGGGAGAAGATTTAGTTCATCTGAAAAAACTGCCTTCTAAAAATTGTTGCAGATATTTGGCTGCCCCAGGGTTGCTAACATTGACCCCACAAGCTAGCAAAGCCTGATTATAGTGTGCTGGGAACAATCCCAAGTAGGGACCCAAGGGCTCCATGCTGACACAAAACCAGGATCCTACCCATTTGAGCAACTAAACGTTGTCTTTATTGACACCCCAGCAGACAGTATGGATACTTGCTGGTTGTGTGTACATCTTCAGGCTGGGTATCAACTTTTCCTACTCTCACAGAGAAATAATTTGGAACTTAAACATGTGGTACCACCCACAATCTTCAAGCCAGGTTAAGAGGTTGAGTAGTAGTAAAAATGACATTGGCCAAACCCGGTCAAGAAACAGAACTTCATTGGCCAGAAAGTCTGTCACTTATACTGTTTGTGTCTGTTGTATGCCCCATATATGTGATGTGATGGCTATACTTGGTTATCAACTTGACTACATATGGAATTACCTAAAAAACCCCAAATGGCTGGGCACACCTATGAGGAATTTTTGCTTAATTAAATCATTGGAAGTGGAACAATCCACTTCTCATCTAGATCTCAGAGATAGGAAGACAACCTTTAATCCAGATCTTTTGAAGTGGAAAGACTTACCTCTAATATGGGCTGTACCATCTCCTGGAAGCCTTTATAAAAGACATGAAAAAAATGAAGCCTTGTTCTTTGCCAGATTGCTCTTGCCCTCACTAGCAAGTCCATTCATTCACTAGAACTTACTTCTTCAGAATTCCAGCACATACTGAAGACCAGCTGAGACATCCAGTTTCATGGACTGAACAACTACTAGAGTTTGAACCTTTTATTTACAGGCAGCTATTGTTGAATTAGCTGGATCACAGCCTATAAATCATTTTAATAAAAACCATGTATGTATATATACATAAAAGTTATGCACACGTATATATATATATGTATATACATATATATACATATATATACATATATATGTATATATATATATATATATGGAGAGAGAGAGAGAGAGAGAGAGAGAGAGAGAGAGAGAGAGAGAGACAGACTCATTCTATAAGTTTTGTTACTCTAGAGAATCTGGACTGATATATGTGTTTACTTTCCTCTTGAGTTCATGGTTGGCTGCCCATCTCCACTGCTCTCAAAGGATCAGGGGTACTTCTGAGACTATGGACACCCCTGTCTCCAGTAGTTCTTGAAAGACTTGACTGACCTGAACAAAGAATTACTCAGCTACTCAAATTATGCTCTCTTCCAACAACTCAGGGTCCCACAAACCCCCAATACCCAGGAGAGTGGGTTGGAGTAAAATTCCCAGTATGGGAAAGTCTGGACCCAACATGGGAAGGGCCTTCTCAGGTTATCCTCACCACTCCCTCAGGTCTTATTATATATTTATTTGACTGTACTTTCCCCTCCCTCCTCTCCTCCTCCTTGGTTCCCCTCCCCCATCCACTCCCCTTCTGTTTCTCTTCAGAAAAGGGCAGGCCTCCCATGGATATCAACCAGCCAGGGCATTTCAGCTTGCAGTAAGACTTTGGCAGCTCCTCTCCTCTTAAGTCTAGATGAAGCAATCCAGTAGGAGAAAAGGGTCCCAAAGGCAGGCAACAGAGTCAGAGACAGCCCCTGCTCCCATTGTCTCCACAAGAAGACTAAGCTACACAGCTGTAATGTATGTGCAGAGGACCTAGGACGGTCCCATGCAGCCTCCATGGTTGGTGGTTTAGTTTCTCTGAGCCCCTTTGAGCCCATGTCAGTTGATTCTATGGGTTTTCCTGTGTTGTCCTTGACCCCTCTAATTCCTACAATTCTTCCTCCCCTTCTTGTGTAGGATTCTCCAAGTTCTGCCTAATGTTTGGCTGTGGGTATCTGTTTCCATCAGTTGCTGGGTGAAGCCTCTCTGATGACAACTGGGCTAGGCTCCAGTCTATATGTATAGCAGAATATCATTAGGAATCATTTCGTTGACTGTTGTTTGTTTATTTGTTTGGTTAGTTTGTCGTTTCTGTTATTATTGCTGTTGCCATTCGTGTTTGGTTTTAGCTCTGGGCTCTCCAGCCTCTGGTACCTGGCCATCTAGGCAGTGTCTGGGTCTCCCTCTCGTGGCATGGGTCACAAGATGGACCAGACACTGTCTGTCCGCTCTCTCAATTTCTGCTCCATCTTAACCCTAGCACATCTTGCAGTCAGGACAAATTATTGAAAGTTTTGCGGCTGGGTTGATATTCCAATCCCCTCACTAGAAGGGGGATCTTGTCTACAGGATATGGCCAATTCAGACTCCATATCCTCCATTTCTAGGATTCTTAGGTAGGGACATCTTCATAGATGCTTGGGAGTTTCCATTGCTCTAGGCTTCTATCTTACCCTGAAATGCCCCTCAAAAGAAGTCATCTCTCCCATTACGATCTCCCTCCATCCTCTCCCAACCTGAACCTTCCGTTCTCTCCTCACATTCCTCAAGTCCACTCTCAATATGTATTCTTATTAGTAAATGCTAGCCATGAGTCCTTAAGCCATGTCAGCACTGTTGTATATGCTTACATGCAAGCCAGGTCACTCACACTGGAGTACAGATGACTAACCAAAGCCTGACCAACAACACAAAGGGGACATATGTAATTGGGCCTTCTGTTCAGGTAATAGGAAAAGCCCAATGTGTGGGAAATAGAAAGAGCTGTGTGTGGATAGATTTAAAAAAATGAATATAGTAGTTCCTAATAGTACATACTTCATCTGCCCCAAGGGTATTTACACCTGCTATCAAGGAGTCACTTGAAGACTAAGTTGGCCCCCAACTTAGAAGCACTCTCAGGAAGGGAGAAATGGCTATAGTTATATTTCTCAGATTCAAGAAACAGTAGAGTCCCTGTGCTTTTACTAGACCCTGCTAGGAATGGCTCCATCACGGTCCATGACCACCGGTTCCATTGCAATGGGTATCCAACAAAATCAGCACAACCAGCTCTCTATTACATTATCAGTCAGGGACTG